CAAGGTCCAACACCGATTTATGATAAAAATCCCCACAGAAAATTGTTATAGATGGTCTTTATCTCAGTCTGATAAAAGCCATCTATAACAGACCATCAGCCAGCATCATATTAAACAGACAAAAACTGAAAGCTTTCACTCTAAAATCAGGAACAAGGGGCTGGGGATTTAGCTCAGTGGCACTGCATCTGCCTTGCAAGCAAGCATAGGGTCCTGAGTTCAATCTCCAGTACTGGCAAGAAAAAAAGAAGTGTGTCAGTAACAAGACAAGGATGTCCTCTGTCACCACTCTTGTTCAGTATAGTTCTGGAAACAATAACTAGAGCAATTAGACAAGAGAAAGAAATAAAAGGAATAGGAAAGGAAAATTAAATTATCATTATTTACAGATTACATGATATTCTACACAGAAGACCCCAAAAGCTCCATCAAAAACACTTCTAGATATAACCAAATTCAGTGGCATGGCTGAATACAAAGTCAACACTCAAAAATCAATACCCTTCCTATACACAAATAACAAACTCACTGAGCGAAATTAGAGAAACCCCTTTTACATTAGCATCCAAAAAAATGAAATACCTAAGAATCAATTTAATTAAGGAAGTAAAAGACCTCAAACTATAGTATTCTGAAAAAGGAAATCAAAGAGGATATTAGAAAATGGAAATAAATCCCTTATTCTTGAATAGGAAGAACCAACATTGCGACAATGTTCATACTTCCAAAATGGTTATACGGAATAAGTTCAATCCCAATCAAAATTCCAAAAGCATACATCACATATAAGTGTTGGTGGTATAGCGGTGAGCATAGCTGCCTTCCAAAAGCACATGACAGAGAATTAGGAAAAACAATCCTATAATTCATTTGGAGCCAGAAGAGGCCTAGAATGGCAAAGGCAGTTCTGGGCAATAAAGGCAAGGCAGCGGGTATCACAATCCCTGGTTTAAATTATACTACAAAGATACTGTGATAAAAATAGCACGGCACTCAAAAACATCTGAGGATCAATGGAACAGACTAGAGGATGCAGGAACAACCCCAGACACACTCAGCCACCTTGTCTTTGACAAAGGAGCCAAACACCTTCACTGGAAGAAAGACAGCATCTTCAATAAATGGTGCTGGAAAAACTGCCAAAAATTGAAACTAGACCCATATCTTTCACCATATACTAACCTAAGATCAAAATGGATCAAAGATCTAAATATTAAAACAGAAATAATAAATCTGCTAGAAGAGAGAATAGGTAGAATGCTTGAGGACATAGGAGTAGGCAAAGATTTCATGAACAAAACCCAGACCACACAGGAAATGCTACAAAGAATCAACAATTGGGACCTCATTTTATTAAAAAGCTTTTGCACAGCAAAAGAAACCACCAACAGAGTAAAGAGAAAACCCACAACATGGGAAAATTTTTTTTACCAGCTCTTCATCAGATAAAGGACTACTACCTAGAATATATAAAGAACTCAAAAATACCAGACCCCCCCCAAATTTAAAGACTCAGTGCAAAAATGGGCATGTGAAATGAAAATACATGCCTCAGATAAAGTAAAAATAGCAAATAAATGTATTATAAATGTTCAACATCACTGGTCACTTCAGAGATGCAAATTAAAACAACACCGAGATTCAACCTCACCCCAGAAAGAATGGCTGCTATCAAGAAATCAACCCATAACAAATTCTGGAGGGGCTGTGGGGGAAAAGGAACACTAGCTAGGAATTTGGCTCAGTGGTGCTTTGCCTGCCTCACAAGCACAAGGTACCAAGTTCAATCCCTGGTACCAAAAAAAGAGGACTCTTCTCCACTGCTGGTGGGAGTGCAGTCTGGCACAACTACTGTGGAAATCAGTGTGGAGATGCCTCAAAAAACTAAAACTAGAAGTTCCTTTGACCCAGCTATTCCCCTTCTTTATATCTTCTTGAAAGAAATAAAGAGCATGATACCACAGCGATAAATGTACACCCATGTTTATAGTGGCACAGTTTGTAATAGCTAAACCTTGGAAACAGCCCAAATGCCCATCAACGGATGAGTGGATAAAGAAGATGTTTGGTTTTTCTTTAAATATAATGGAGTACTACTCTGCCATAAAGAGCTTCAGACATTTATAGCTAAATGAATGGACCTTGAGACCATACTCCTAAGTGAAATAAATCAGACACATGTTTGAGTGCCACATTCTCTGGTGTGAGAAACTAAAGGTTCAAATAAAGACTGAAATCAGGGAGATTGGGTCAGTAGTGTCCAAAAGTTGTGGGTTTCTTCCTACTCTGAGCAAGGAGGAGAGGTCATTCCCATGTCCAGGGCTGAATGAACGTTTGAGACTTTGCCTCATGGGAAAGACATCTTTGGAATGGCATTTCCTAAGTCATAGGTGAGAATCCACACATATGACTAGATGGGGGCTGTGTTTAAGAACAGTGCCTTTGAATTACTGGTGGTCTCAGTGTCTGGTTATCTACCCAAAGGCCTGCATTTTAGTTTTTTTTTTTTAACATCCGTTTAATCTGCAGTCTGAACCCTTTTCCCCAAATTAACTCTGACTTTCATGCTCTGAGAAAATATCGCACAGGCTGGGCCCTCCTTAACTGTCTATCTTCCATCTAATTTAAGTAAATTTCTACGATGCCTATCTTATGTAAAATACAGTAAAAATTTATTGTACATAGTTTCTATTAAATGTCTGATCTAAATCCCTGGCCCAAATGTTAAAGAAAACATGAAAAAAAGAAGACAGAAATAGGAAGTAAGAAGAAATCTAAGAATTTCCCAAATTATATATTCTGGTTTCAAAAATATTTCAATATATATGCTAATTTGTTTCATTTAAACTGCTAGGTCCTCTTAGTTCACTGAAAAGAAAGTTTAGTGCTATTATCTGGGTGTTGTTGTTGTTGTTATTGTTTGGTCTCAGGGATCGAACTTGGGTCCTTCTGCTTGCGAGGCAGGCAGCGGCATCACTGAGCTAAATCTGTGGCCGTGATTGATTTGTACTCAAACAGTTTGGCCATTTTTTAAAGATTATGGTACACAGTGTATTAACTAATTCTATTCTTTAATTAGTTATGAAATTTTGCTTTTTCATAGAAGACTATTAAAAATATTTCCTTTATTAACATCTACTTGTATTACATTAAAATTAAGTTTTTAAAATTAAACAAAAAACATCAGACCACAGCGGACACAGTGACTGACAGGTCCTCTCAGACCTTGTCCCTGCAGTGGTCAAGCCCACTTGTTGGTTCCCTCCATCTCCATGCCTGGGAAACACAAGCAGCAGGTTACAGGGGTAGCAGGCAGGGCTGTCACCTGAGTCATGGCCACCTCATCCTAGATGGCAGCTTCCAAGTCAGGGCCACAGAAGAAATGCAAGGTCTTGATCCATCTACACTGGCTATGGTAGATCAGAAGTCAGGACGGATACTTACTGGTATCTAGGTATCTTATTAGTTTGTTTCGGATCAAACCCAGGACCTCGTGCACACAAGGCAATGTGCCATGTCCCCAGCCCTTTTTATTATTCTGACATAGGGTCTTGCTAGGTGCCCAAGCTGGCTCTGAACTTGTGGTCAGAGGGCTGGGATCACAGGCATGTGCCACCATGCCCAGCACATCTGGGGATTTTAAAAGGACCCATCTCTGACGGAGAAGGGGTCTCTCTCAACAGGAAGTCTCCTGAAGCTGTGTCCTGTTTCAGATGTGCCTGCAGCACCGTGTGGTCACTTATGGACAATCCACTTCCAGATTCACTGAGCCCCAATCTTCCTCTCTACTGCCTACACCAAGGGCAGACTTCCCCGAGACCCCACTGCATGTGGGCACGACCCACACGAGTGGCATCTTGAGGTGCACACTGTCCCACAAGGCTCTTTTCCCTTTCCCAAATCCCCAGCTCCCACCCCATCTGCTGAGACTCTGCTTTCCTTCCCAGCCTCAATACCACAACTACCTCTGATGGTCATCTCCTCTCCCATACACCCCACACTAGGCAGGGCAGGACCTTGGCCTCTGGGTGCAGAGGTCACCTTCCCCACAGCCATCTGCTAGATCTACGATGGTGAACCTTCTAAAGCTTTCAGTGATACAAACAGCCCATGTGGCATACATGCCACAGGTTCACCACCGTCCTGGGTGAATCACGAACTGAACTGCACACTCCCCGCCCACTGCCTTACCAAGGAGCAGCTGCCAGGGCTCCCACGGGGTTAGTGACTGTCTGGACTCACAGCGCCTCTGGCTCTGCAGGGGGCAGGGTCCTGTGCTTCAGGGGAATCCTGGCCCTGGCTGGCAGGTTGTTTCCCCGCAGAGGGTCAATAGCTTCACCACCATGCAGGGGAGAGAGAGCTTTCTGGAAATGCAGGGCTGTGAGAAGAAATGGTGTCTAGGGCCACAGGGCCCGGGTCTCACCCAAGGACACACAGTCCCAGCCTCTCCACTGTCCCCAACCTTCCAGGAGGCTGCCGCTGGGCAGAGGACTCAACCCACACCACAGAAAGTATGGAGTTTCAAAGGGGCTCCAATGTGTGTGGACACAAACTTCACAAGCCAAGGATTAAAGACAAAGAGCGACACTTGTACACCAGTGATCTAAATGAAAGCAAACTTAGGGTAAAGGGCAAGCAATGAGCTGTCTGAGCACCGTAGGCAGTGTGAAGTCCAACACTTGCTAAAGCTCAGTCCTAACGAGCTGCCCACTGCAGGAGAGGCCCAGGCAGGGCAAAAACAAGACTGGGTTTGTTTTGCCATTTTGGTTCAAGGGATTGAACCCAGAACCTTGCACTTGTTGGTCAAGAGATCTACAGTGGAGCTACAGCCCCAGCCTGCACGGCCGGTTTTGACCACCACGACATGGGATCAGGCACGACCCAGGAGGAATATTACCCAGCCTGGGAAGACCCACAGGGGCTACAGCCTTCACTCAGCAAACCCCTCCCTTCCACACCCTCCTGCGGTCCTCCCCTCCCCTCCCCCACCAGGTCCCCACCTGATTTTCCGCAGCAACGTGTGGAAGGGCCGGAAAAGCTCAGACATGTCTTCCACCTTGCGCTCCAGGTTCAGGGGTCCATCTGCGTAGACCACAAGGCCACTGCGGCGGAGACATACAAGCCAGCCCAGTTACTCTAGGGACCCTGGGAAAGGGGCCTGGGACTATGTGGTAGACCCACCTCCCGGTTCTTCTCACCCTCCGTCCCTCCCGACTGGGTCTTACAGAAGCTCAGAAAAAGGCAATGACTTTCTCATCTTCTGAAGCTGATTAACGTGTGTTCACAAGAGGGGCCATAGGTCATCCTAAGAACAGATTCATACACTCAGTGTCACCACCAAACTGGCATGGAGATTTGCTGGTTAAACCATCTCCTTGGGAGTGTGGGACCTGGGTTACAATTTACCCGAGCAGCCTTCCGAGAATAACCTGAAAATGTCCTCTCCAAAAGTAAAACAAGTTGTGCACCCAGCCCTCCTCCAGGGGGCACCCCCTCCCCAACACGAGGCTTTCTCTCCTCACTGTCCCCAGGCTGGTACCCAGCTCGGCACCTGCTGAAGACCTGTCTGGGGAGCCACCTTGAGGGCCCCAGGCGCACTCGCAGCCCCGCTCAGCGCCTGCAGGGGGAGCTCCACTCGCCCTGGCCGACCTCCCTCAGGCCGCTTCTCCCGTCACAGGTCACAGGTCACAGGTCCGTGGGAATCGGCTGCTCCGGTCTTGTGTCTGGGCCTTGCCAGACCAGGGCTGCGCGGGCTCGTGAGTGTGAATGAGGGGCACTCACGCCTGCAGAGGTGACAGACGTTTCCTGCCAGACCTGGGTCAAGGACGTCAGAACTGAAGGATGGGACTCCTTCAAAGGTCACAGCAAGGACGTGGATCGCCCGCACTCGGCCCATCGCTCTCGCCGCCGTGGCTCGGGCAGTGAGGGGCCCAGGCAGCGCTGCGGCTGCACACCGACACTGGAGGCCAACACCTGGCATGGTCCTCACCCCTACTGGAGTATTTACAGTGAGCACAGATGATCCCCACATAAAGCAGGGTGGGCTGCTCTTGATGCCTTTTACACGGGTGGCTGTGAAGCCAGGAAGCTGAATGTGAGAAGTCTGTGAACCCAGCTGGATACCGACACTGGCTGCAGCCGCTCCCTGGGGGTCACTGGTTCAAGGCGCCCACGGAGACACCCAGGGGCGCCACTCTGCTGTCCAGCACAGGCCAGATCACCCAGCGCCCCACTTCTCCTGGAATGAGCGACTGCCTACTGCAGGGGGCAGGGAGGTGGCTGCCACACGGCCGAGGAGGAGCTCAACTGCCAAGCACGCGGGCAGAGACAGGCTCTTGCCCTGCGGCAACAAACTGCAGCCAAAAGACCGGCATCACTGCCAGCCTCTGACAGGCAACCTCCCTATGACCAACACTGGAGAGGAGAGTTTCCAAGGAATGGCACCTGGCGATGCCCTTCGTCCCAGCGGTTATGGCTCTCTCTACATCATGGGGAAGGTGTAGGAGTGGACTTCAAACTGGTGGACAACTTATCATTTGGTTGAAGAAATGCTCAACCCAAAAGGCCCACTCTGGGGAAGACCAGGTGAGGAAAGGTGGATCCTAAACAGCACTGCTGTGCTGCTCGAAGCCAGAAGACACCAGACAGCTCCGCCTCAAATCTGGGATCCCACTGTAGGCCGGCCGCCTGCCTACCGCGGACTGCAGAGCCTTCCCAAATCCAAGAAGCTCTCTAACCTGCACTTGTTTTCCCAAGGACACGGATCAGTAGCAGAGAGAAGTCCTACCCTGGCGAGACCAAATCACGGAGTTGTCCCTGCGTGTGCTTCATCGTGTGAAGGACTGGGAAACCAGAGAACCTGAACAAGGCTCTTCAGAGGCCCTGCGTGCTTCCCAGCTCTGCCACCAGGCTAACCTCAGGGTCCGGCACATCACTTGCCTGACAGTTTCCCATTTACCAAATGAGGAGATGTACAGCATCATCTCTGAGGCTCTTTCTAACTTACAGATTCCATGAGTGATGATCAGATTCTATTGTAACTGTGTGGTGAGGATTTGTCCCAGATTATTTTTTAGCTATTTTTTTTTACATGTGTGACGCTTGGGGGATACTAATCATATAAGGTCAAAGCTCTCTTCTGTATCATTAGAAAAGAGTGTGGAGGGTGAGTCCTTCATACTCGTGCTGCACTTCATTTTTTCAGGGAAATCAGTGTCTTCCCTGTTATGCGGAATCCCACATGGGCCAGTGATGGTATGTTGAGGTCCAGTGCTCTGAACACACAAGAATGGCTGTGGGGTGACCCTACCACGCTTTATTGCTTACATGAAGCGCCTTTGGCTCAAGGGCCACTTATAAACACCACTGCCCTCTCTCCCCAAAACCTTCTGTGAGTGTGAAGTGTGTACTAAATGGGGAAACCTGTTTAATCTAGGTATCAAGAAAAGGAACAAGGACTGTGAATTATGTGCGGGGCACCCAGTGTTTTGTAATAGAAAAGTAGGAAATGTTGGCTAAGGAATGTCAGGTCCTTTTGATTCATGGACTATGCCAAATAAACTGGTATCCCTGAGGGGAAAAAAGTCACAGCAAAAACATGGCTATGTTCCTCATGTGGCACGACAGCTGTGACTGGTGTGCCCAGCCCCTGCCAGCAGGAAGAGCTGCATCTTCTTAGAGGGCCACCCCACTGCATCACCCCAGCCGTGGGGCCACCTGACACCCACAGCAGTGCAGTGGCTTCTTGTTTCCCTGACTTCTTGCTGCTACCACCACCAGTCTGTTTACAGCACCCAGCAACCCTTGAGGTGTCTCCCTGAAGCCTTGACTCACATTTTTTTAATGACCAACAATGATGATACTGAACATCTTTTCATGTGCTCATTAGCTACCTGTGTATCTTTGTCAGAAAAAATGTCTATGTAAGTCTTTTGTTTTGTTTTGTTTTGTTTTTTGGTACCATGGATCAAACTCAGGTCCTTGAGCTTGCTTGCAAGGCAGGCAGCAGGACCACTGAGCTAAATCTCCGGCCTTCTTTTGCTGTTTTTTAATTGGGTTGCTTATCTCTTTGCTGTCGAATTTTAAGGATCCTTCATATATTTTGCCCATAAAGAATTTATCAGACATGATTTGCAAATATCTCCTTCCATTATTTAGGTTTTCTTTCCACTTTGATAATAGCATCCTTGACATACAAAAGCCAACTGTAATGAAGTCCCATTTATTTATTTTTTTATTTTGTTGCTAGTTTTTTTGGTGTCAAATCTAAGAATCCACTGCCAAGTCCAAGAACGTGAATATTTACTCCCCAAATTAGGGTGAGAGAGACTTGGGGGTGACAGGCATGTACTTAAGGAATTAGTTCATGCAGGCAGGGCTGGCGAGTCCTGGATCTGCAGGGAGGCCAGCAGGCTGGACCCCTAGAAGAGGCCACCTTGCAGCTCTGGGCTGAGGGCATCTGCAGAAAGCCCTGCTTTTGGGGCCTGCGACTGCCTGGATGATGGCACCTGCAGAATGAAGGGTAACCCGCTGTGCCTGGGGGGCACTGATCCATGGAAGACTCAGCCTGAAGCACCTTCACAGCAGCACCCTGACTGGTGGTGGCCTAACGTGGTTACCAAGGCCCAGCCGAGTCTCTGTTAATTTACAGAAAATTAACCATCATGAGGCCTAGCTTTGCTCTTTTGGAAGCGGCTGTTTGCCTGTCCCAGCTGCGCAGATTTAGAAGAATGCTCCTTCCCCACGGAATGCCTTGTCAAACATCAGTGGGCCACAAACTTTTGGGTGTATTTCCGGCCTCTCAGTTCTGCTCCACTGGTCTTTATCTGTATCAGAAGGCAAGGACCATACTGTTTTGCTTTGTAGGTTTTGAAATGAAGGTTCGTTCACAAGTCCTCCAACATGTCTTTCTTTCTCAATGTTGTTTTGCCTATTCAGGGCCCACTGCAGTTCCATATGAAATTGAGGAACAGCTTTCTCGTTTATGTAAGGAAAGAGGCAGTGGGGTTCTGACAGTTTCAGGGCTACCGATCACCTTGCAGAACGCTGCCACCCTAACATATTAAGTCTTTCAATCCATGCACATGGAATTTCTTTCCATTATAGTAGATCTTCTTTAATTTTTTCAACATCCATGTCTTTTCACCTCTTTGGTTAGGTTTATTTCTAGGTATTTTATTCTTTTCAGTACTATTGCAAATCTCAAATTAAAATTACAGTTAATTATATGCAGTGGAATATTATTCAGCCTTTAAAAAGGAAAGAAATTCTGATATTTACCATACCAAAGGAGAACCCTGATACTATAGCAAGTTAAATAATGCATTCATAAAAGGTCAAATCTTGTGTGATTCCCGTAAGGAGGTCCCTGCAGAGTCAAATCCACGGACATGGGAAGTTTGTGGTGAGGAGGGGAGAGGAAAGTCAGCGTGTGATGGAGCCGGATGGGGCCAGTGGTGGTACACAATGTGACTGTCCTAACGTCGGGACAGTTAGAACAGCAAATTGTGCTGCGCATATTTTATCACAATAATGAAAGAATGTTTGATGTGTGATGGAGCCGGATGGGGCCAGTGGTGGTACACAATGTGACTGTCCTAACGACACTCGGGACAGTTAGAACAGCAAATTGTGCTGCGCATATTTTATCACAATAATGAAAGAATGTTTGTTGCTTAGCTTTGTTTACATAAGTTTTATCTGTCACATTAAATAGCGCAAGTAAATACACAGGATTTGGTAACAACTTTTTGTAGTAACACCCTGGGGGTGTTTCTACACGATATTTGGGGTTTTTTTTCTAAAATTGCTTTCATGGCTACGACAGTGGCGGTGAATCTATGGCACACATGCCACAACCGGCTTTTTGTATCATTGAAATCTCTAAAAGGTTCACCATCACTGGGCTACATTTTAAATCAAACCCTTAGTTCTGGAATCCACCCCCTCTCAAATTTTTTTGGTTTTCAAGTAATACTTTAGGGACAATCTTTGTAAATGCAATCTCTGTTTATGCCCTGTCAGACCAATGTAACAGAACTCTGCAGCAGCCCCTGTGCTAGCAGACCTCAGGCACCAAGGGCACACTGGTAGATAAAGAGGGGTAGCATCCCTGATTTGGTGGGGGACACACACATAACACAAACCCACTGATACAAAGGACCTGGACGGGCAAACCTACAGAAACAGAAAACTGGTGTCCCTGGAGCATGTGTGTGACAACAGGGGTGGTGGTGGACGTGGAGGGCAAAGGGTACGGGTGTCTTTATGGGTGATGATGACACAGTCAGGGAGACCGCCTCTGTCCCAGGCGGCCTACGCTCAGGCACAGACGGAGATGGGAAGCCATGAAGAGCTGAAAAGCACAGGCACCAAGAACACAGAGTGCCTGGGTCAGGTCGTCCGACCCCACCAGTTATTTTAAAACTGCTGGGGCCTAGGGAGGGCAGCAGGCAGAATGAGAGGGTCAGTATGGCTGCTGTGGACGTGCATGGCTCAGGACGACTCGGAGGAAGGCAGCCTCGAACGTTGGGCACCGTCCATGAAGGGTGAGGTGAGCGCCGAACACTGTACTGGCAGGCACCTGTGGGTGGCTTGTCAGGAAGAGAGGCAGGACCCCCACTTCCCAAGGTCACATCTAGTCCTCCCAGGTGCAGAGCCCTTGAAGACTCCCAGACCCTGTTCTGCTGGCCAAACAAGGCCCTGCTCCAAGGAGTTCTACTATTCTGTTGTTTAAACAAAGAAGTAAGGACCTGGCCACGGATTTAGCTCAGTGATTCTGCCACCTGCTTCGCAGGCATAAGGTTCCAGTACTGGGGGCGGGGGGTAAGGATCCAAACGGCTCATCGAGACCATCAAAATGAGTTTGGCCACACCAAGGCCTTTTCCTGGGATGAAAAACCACATAATAGAGTCTTAAGGGGGGCTCTGTGCGCCAGGATGGGCTCTGCCTGCACCGGCAGGACCCATCACTCCAAGTCACTTCATGCTGGCCACGGGGACACTGGTCCTCCAGCTCAGCACCTGCAGGCAGAGGGAGATTTCCAAATTCTACAAATTAACAAAGGGATAGAAGTGCCCCCTCTACCTGCTCCCTGTAACGGGACCTGACCAATTCGGTCAGTCTACAGATAAAGCTCCGATCAAAGAGGGAGAAGAGTAGGGAGGCCAGGGCACCAAGCCATTAGAAGACTCTAGAAAAGCACTGAGGGTTAAACTGCCCAAAGGACATCCCAGGAATATCCTAAGAAGGCACCCAAGGAAGGCAGCCAGCCAGGTGCCTAGCGGGAGGCTGGACACTCCCCAATGCTACCTGCCCCCACACAGGGGGAGCACCCCTTCATGTGCAGATAGCACTGCATGCTCCCCTGCACCCCACTTTCACACAGAGGCAGCTTGGCCCAGCACAGGCACCTGCCGTGTGTGTCTGTGACCCGGGCCTCCTTCCTGTGGCCAGGCCTGGATCCATCCTAGCCTTGGTGCCTACCACACATCCCTGGCCACATCCTAGTCGTCCACACCTCCAGTGAGCGTCTGTCCCTGGACTCTCCACCCCACTCTGCCAGCTCTGCACCTGTGAGCCAGCTGCCTACGGGGCCACTTTCCTGGCCACAAGGCCAGAGGTTCCCCTCGAGCTCTCCTCTGCAACGACTGCCCTCAGTGACCATCGCCTGCGAGCAAGGAAGCAAGTTCCTGTCCAGAGACAGGGGATGAGCTGCAGGGGGAGAGCCCAAGACACCTAGGCTCTGCCTCGGAGATGCTCGCAGGTGCCTCAGCACTTCCAGCCTCGGGTATATGAAAGCTGTCAGTGAGCTCCCTGCTCTCCCTGAATCCGCTGTCCCTTGCCAGAAGGAAGGCTCTCTGCCAGGTAGCCCCTCAGCAGCATCCCCAGCCCACCAGGTGGTCACCTCCCCACCAGCCCAAGAGAGTCAAACCTCCCACGGCCTCCACTGGGAATCGGAGGTACCTTGCCCTCCTGTCACTACAAGCCCCTGCATGTCACCCCATTCTGCAGGCAACCCCAAGTGGCCATGTGTGAAAGGCAGCATCTGTGACTAGTGAGCTGCTGTCCATCACACCTGTCCTGTGGTGGGTGACAAGGGTCTGGCCATCTTGCTCCCTAACTCACGGACAAAGTTAAGCAGGAGGTGCTGTGGATACTTAGCTTCTCATCTGCAGGGAGGCCCAAGGGCCCACCTGGTGACTGCTCCAGAAAGCTGAGGGACGGGGTGTGTTACACCTCATATCTGGATGTCCTGACAACGCTTCGTGTGCTCATAGGTGGGGCCTTGGGGAGGTGACTGGCTCATGGGTGTGTGATACTGGATTAGTCCACTGACGGGTTACGGCTGGGTATGCTGTTGGGAGGCGAAGCCTGGTGTGAAGAGGAGGATCACTGTTGGCGTGGCCCGGAGGGTACATATCCCTCCTCCTCCCTCGACCGCGGCTGCCTCCTGCCTGCCCTGCCATGGACTGTTTCTTCTCTGGGCTCCCCCTCTGCCGTGCTGCCCTGCTTTGGAGCCAGCAGACTATGGACTAAACCTCTGCAAATTGTGACCTAAAATAAACCTCTCCTCCTTTACCTTGTGGCTGTCAGCTATTGTGTCCTGGCGATGAGGAAGTAACAAAGACAGAGCAGGACTGCTCTCAATATGCAGAAGGGGCACTCACCACACGATGGCAAGCCGGGGGATGGTGAACATGAGTGCTGGCTCATAGTCGTCAATCATGTCCTGAGTGAGGTACCCGCAGTCCAGGGCCCTGGCCAGAGACAAGAGGGAGTGAGTGGTGCCTCCAGGGCTGGACCCAAGTGGAGGCAGGAGAAGGGTAGGCCCACCCCTCACCCCACACCCACGGGAGGCTGACGCTGGAGAGGCTGCACTGTTTGGGTAGCTCCGGAAGAGTCTTGCACCTGTCCCTCCACCTACTCCACCTTGGCCCCAGGAAGGAAGTGGAAGTGTGGGAAGCAGGTGAGGTGTGTGGGGACAGTAGGGACTTCCCACAGAGCAAGCTAGGTGGCAGCTTTGCCTAACCAGGAAACTGGGGCACCACCAGAACCAAGAATAAACACGGGCCAACATTCCCCATCCTAGCTGACACTTCCAGAGGAATGGGGCTGATGTCCCCTTCCACATAGCAGGTGGCTTTCTCCAAACCTGGTGAGCAGTGCAGATGCCACAGTGACTTCAAGATCAAAGGCAGTCACTTCCTGTCACCTCATTTTCTGGCAACTGAAAATCTCTCTCAAAGAATCAGCAGTGACTGGTCTGTCTTCTAAAAATAACAAACTTGTGACGAGATGCTGGTCAATTTCAAAACTTACTAATACCACAGCAAACTAGAAAAATGCCCATCTTGAAGACTTGGCCCCCACATCCGCTCAGAAAACCTGAATTTGATGACACTGATAAGTCACCCCCAAACTGTGTTCAACTGGCCTGAAGCCGGCGAAGGCTCCCCTGTGGGCTGTGACGGTGAGGAGCTGGGCAGTAGGCAGGTGAGAGAGGAGGGCATTGCCAGCCTGGTGGGCCAAGCCTGCCAGCCTTCCTCCTGTCACAGGAGTCCCAGCAGTACTGTCCTTCGGCCCAGAGAAAGGGTGGGACACATGGGATGACTGGGGAGGCCCTGCCGGCTGCCGCCTGCGCAGAGGGAAGGGGTAGGAAGGACAGCAGGCAGACACCTCGGATGAGGGCCAACCTGGGCTGCCCCTTGCTGGTCCTCACCTCTCCACGGTCTCACAGAACAGCACGATGACCTCCTGCTGCACATAGTACTCCCTGGGGGACTTCACGGGCACCATGGCCGAGACATAGCTGCAGACACAACAAGCTGTATCAGGCCCTCAAGCCACCTGAGCCTCCTAAAAAGGGGCTCTTAGACCCCTAACCTTCAGCATCACAGACGCAGCTCCCAGCTGTGGGTGACATTTCAAAGCAAAGCTCCTGCAGGGCAGGTCTGGGGCTCCCCTGTGGAGTGTCAGGCTGGCCCCCAGACAAGCCATCCCTGCCAATGAGCACCCGCCCTTCCCTGGTGCCAACCTGACAGGTAAGCAAGTGGGCAAGTGTGCAAGTGTGTGTGCATAAGCACTAAACAGCCCCGTGTGCCCCGCCATGGCAGTCAGGCCACGCAGAGCTGGATGCTTGGGTGTCTGTTGAGGGGCCGTGAGCCTGGACAGCCAGCCCAGCTGTTCCCAGATGAGAACACGTCTTTCCTGCTAAACCACCCACTCTCATTTTTTCTTGGTATGAATGCCTATTGAGAAAATCCAAAGAAAAGAGAAAAAAGTAAACCCCAACAGTTTGCACTCTCATTTCCTAAAGAGAACCACTCTAGAAGTCCCTCCAGGCTCTGCAGACCACAGGGCCACTGACTGCAGCCCGCCCATTTCCACTGCAGTGAGCTGTGCACAAAGCAGGGGCCTCACAAAGAGCCCCTCCAGGTCCTGACCCTCAGGACCACAGGCCACCTCTGCTCCAGGCCCTCTCCGGAAGGCCCTCACCCTACACTGCACCACCCAGGGTCACCCACACCAGCAATGGCATTGAGCCCCTGCAGGCTGCTCCCTGCATGGGGTTCTCATGTTTTTTCTCATTTTGTTTGTTGAGCTTTTGTTTTTAGAGTTTTTTTTTTTCCAGTATTGAGAATTAAACCCAGGCCCTTTGTACCTAGCTCCATCACCAGCACCGCCTCCCCCGCTTTTTTTCTTTTGAGACAGGGTCTTACTAAGTTACTGAGTAGCCCAGGCTGGGCTCAAACTTGGAATCCTCCTGCCTCAGTCTCCCAGGGTGCTGGGATGACAGGTGTGCCTGGCATGGTGGAATTCCCTAGCTGGAAATATGAGAACTGGCACACCAGGTACAGGGCAAAGGCCGCAACTCCCCATCCTCAGGGCCATCAAGGTCACCTCAGCTCAAAGTCAGCGAACAGGACATCGAAGCGCCTCAGTGCCTCTCGCATCTTCTCCGTGTAGGTGCTGAGGTCACGCAGCGCCTGGTCTCGCAGGGCACTCCGCACATCCTCCAGGCTTCGAGTTAGTTCCTTGGCCAGCGGCCGCATGGCCATGCTCTCCAGCTCCCGGTTCATGATGATGGAGCCGGCGGCCAGGCACTGAGGACAGAGGACATGCTGAGAGATGCCAGCCCCAGACCTCAGCAGTCCCCACTTCTGGTCCCCTTCAAGGTTCCTCTTAAGTCCCCAGCAAACATGGCAGCAATGACATTGTCCCTTCTGATGACCAACAGGCACCATGCAGGACCAGGTGGGGGTCTGACATGAGGCTCTTGGGTCAGGGCTCTGTGCAGGGGCCCCCAGGATGTGACCCCTGCTTCCTCCCAGTCCTGTCTGAGGGTGGCTGCCACAGAGTCAGGAGTCCCCAGAGGCCGGCACATGACGCAGCAGGGCTGCTCTGCCCTCACCCCCCTAGCACGTGGGGCTGGCTGACAAGTCACAGACACCATTGTCAATGTACTCAGGGCTCAGGGACACCTGATGGTCCTCACACCCACACCCAAGTCCTGACAGCCCTTGGCTCCCAACAGGTTGGGGGGCCTCTCTATACCCACAAACCCCCACATCTGTCAGACTCCAGGGTGTGGCATAAGCATAAAATTTTGCCAGCTGCTCTCAGACATGGGGTGCAGCCAGCTCGAGGAGAGTCAGAGGAGGCAGGGTTCCTGTCCACGGGCTGAGTGGTAGGTCACCAGTCTGTCTCTATTAGCAAGTCAGGACAAGAAGTGATTTCCTGGGTGGCCGGGCAACAGGGTGGAGGATTGCTGAGAGCAGCAGGGAGCTGCAGGCACCACGCGTGGAGATGGCACACTGTACACACACACCTGGCCCAGCAGCAGGCAGCATCTGCCTTCTCTGGCGCCCCCCACAGGAGCCCTCTGCCCAGGGTCCCTGGAGAGAAGAGGGGGGACACCGAGGCTGAGGCGTGGAGGATGCCCCAGCCAGCATGTTCAGAGGGGTGAAGCAGGCAGAGGCACGGCAGGTAGACCGGGGCTGGGGTGGACTGATCTGGGAAGCCATGGAGAGGAGGGCAGGGAGGACAATGAAGCCTAGAAGGCTCAGTCAAACGAAGCTCTGGAGCCTGAGGTCTCAATCACACAGCCAAGGAGAGGTGAGTGGGGAGTCACAGAAGTCACTGGGCCGGGGAGGTGGTAGTCCTGCCCTTAGGCAAGTGTGGGGTGCCTCCACTTGATGCCTTGGTTTCCTCACTGGGAGATGTAGCAAGAGTAAGGCCTAGCAGAGTTGCCCCATGCCGTCACCACTGCCACTGCGTGTGTGTGTGTGTGTGTGTGTGTACTAGGAATGGAACCCAGGGCCTTAAACATGCTAGCCAAGCACTGTACTACTGAGATCCATCCAAGGCCTAGCAGTTGCCCCATGCCGTCACCACTGCCACTGCGTGTGTGTGTGTGTGTGTGTGTGTGTACTAGGAATGGAACCCAGGGCCTTAAACATGCTAGCCAAGCACTGTACTACTGAGATCCATCCCCAATCCTTTGTTTTTAACTTTTGAGACAGGGTCTCACTGAGTTGCCCAGGCTAGGCTTGAATTTTTGATCCTCCTGCCTCGGCCTACTGCGTGGCTGGGAAAACAGGTGTGCACCACCATGCTCAGCTGGAACTCCTGTTCTCAACACTGGTGTTACAGCTCTTAAGAACTTTGTGTGGGTTCTGGGTGTCTGGGGGCCTAGAAACCTCCTAAGAATCTGTGGGAAGCTTCACTTGCATGTTGGGGCGCAGGCTTGCGGCTCCTCTGGCCCTCCTAGGGCACCATGGCCTCACAGGCTCATGTGCCATCTGCAAGCCAGGAACCCAAGCGGCTGCCCCTACCTCAGCCCCGAACCACAGCTGGCCAGCCAGGTTGTCATGCCGGATCTCCTCGGGGAACTTGACGCAGAAGTCCCGGGGGGCACGGTCCCGTGGGATGCACTCGTCCATGATCTGATTGATGATGTTCAACACGTTGTCCTGAAAGAGAAAGGGGATGACTCACACGTCACCACAGCCGGCTGGTGGCTGTCAAGTCCTGTGGGGAACATGCACAGCAGCGATCCAGGCACACAGCCAGGCCTGCTGTATGATTGCCAGGAAAAGTCAAACACGCTAGGGTGCCTTGAGTTGGGGAAACTCCTACCTGCATTCCCAGAACCTGTCCCTGTAGCAGGGTGACACCAGTGTGTACTCCAGGACAACAGTGCTACCTCGGCGCTCAGAGTTTGTGCATGTGATGCCTCTGGGGACCTTCCCAGGCCGGAGGAAGGGGTCCCATCGCCCTCAGTTACTCAAGTCAACGGCCCTGCTGCCTGCCCCCACTAGGGAGGCCCTGACTCCAGCCTCAGGGCTGTGCGGCGCCGGCCAGGACCATGTACTCCTCCCATTGCTGGAGCCTGATCTGCAGGATGGAAACCCCAACTCAGCTGCCTGGAGGATGGAGTGAGCTAATGTTTGTAAAACTCTTGGTTCCATCCTGGCCCACGCCAAGCCTCAGTACACAGCAAGGCTGTTTTAAAGACTCTTTAAAGTTATTTTCTTCCTGCTGCTCTGAACACAAAGCACAGCGGCAGTCTGTTCTGTAGCCTGAGTCTCATTCCCTCCTTTCTTTAAAATTGTCCTACTCTTTAAATGTTGACCTCTGATTCCATAAGATGACAAGAACATTGCATGCTTAAAGATTTTTTTCCTTTAATTTTTAAATGTAGTGCTCGCTTCGGCAGCACATATACTAAAATTTTTAAAATATAAATGAATGTGCATTCATTATAAAAAGTCAGGAAATGACAGGACGGTGTAAAGGCAGGGAAAGTGTCCTCAGTGGAAAAACCCTGCCAGCTGGGTCTATTTCCTTCCTGTTCCTGTCTGCCGCGGGCCTGATCCTTTGGGAGTGGGGACCTGTGAGCACCTGACCATGTATGTGCTCGACGCTGTCATCAACTGTGGAACCGGGTCTGACTTGGTACCAGCCTGGCTCTTACTGGGGGCCATGCAAGGTCACCCCATCCTCTGCTTCAGGACACTTCCGGCGTCTCTAGCTCTCCAAGGGGAATAATGCTGCCATCACCACGGGGCACAGCACTCTAAACTGGGGGTAATTTCCCCACGACCCACTGATTTCTGGAATCAGAATGAGAAAGTCAGGATGTAGACCACATCCAGGCTCTGACGAGGTGCTGCCGACTGCTGTCCAGAAATAGCTCTGAATCTAGCATCCCTCCCTTTCGCCCTCTGAAAAAGAATGAGAAATCACCACGAGTGGGGACACAATCTTTCCAGCACAAGAAGCCTGTGCGCTGACACTGAAGCAAAGTCTGCTACACAAATAACGTTAATGAAGCCTGAAAAACACAAACAATAAAAACAAGGTCCAGCTGGCATAAAGTGGTACTACTGTCATTTCTCTCTGAGAGGTTCCTGGGTAGGAAGGCTCCTCTCTCACGAGTCAATAAACTCAAGAGCAAAACATGGCAAAATATTAGAGTGAGGGATCCGCCAGGCACACCTACAATCCCAGCCGCACAGGAGGCTGAAGTGGGGATCAGCTAAAGGAGCTGGGTTGCAGCTCAGTGGGAGAGTGCTCACCTAGCAGGCTCCATCACCAGCACTGTGAGGAAAGGGCAAAGCCTCAGGGGTCTGAGGCCCAGCGTGATGGCCTGGCATGCCACAGCCGGACACCTGCTGCCTAGGCAGAGTCTCGTTTTACACACACATAAGTCCCCAGTGCTAGCACAATATACTTCACACACAGTGTGCATCAACAGACATCACTGGGACTTCCAGAAAGACAACTGGGCAAGTCCTGCATTCACCCAGTGCACCACAGAGGGAAACTTCTGGCTAACACAGGGAGAGAGCAACAGTAGTCCACGCAGCAGGGTTTCAGAGCATGGAGGACCACAGGAAAGAGGCCTGGGGCCAGGGAGCCCCCTCAAGGATCCAGCAGAGAGAGACGGTGCCAGGAGACTCCTTGTCCTCATGGCTGCTGGACCCCAGGGACAGGAAGGATGTGTGTCCTGCTGTGTTCTCTGCAGAGCTGCACGTCCCCCAGGACATCCCTCAGCACCTGGCCTGAGAAGGGGCCACCAGCTCTCAGCCAGCCACTCAGACTCACTTAGAGCAGTGCTTTGTCATCAGCACCATCGTCCAACCACAAGCACCTGGCTCCTGGTGAGGGGAAGAAAAGGGACAACAGCCATCCCTGTAGTCGACCATGCCTCTCCTTCCCTCCAGCAGGACCTGAGGAGCAGTGCCCTGTCAGGAGCTGTTTCTAACATGAGCTCCTGGGAACAGGGAGGCCAGGCCTAGAGTGGCCTGGGGTGCTGTGGGTGAGGCCACTGCTGAGACAGCTGAAAAGCAAAGCCTGGAAGGCCACCCTGGCCACAGGCACGGCCCTAGCACAGGCAAGTCCCTTGGAGGCAGGCCAAGTGGAAGAGGAGGTGACCCCTGACCCAGACCATGCTGGAGCAAAATCCAGGCTCCCAGCCCTCGTCCGGTGTGGCCACTTTCCAGGAGGCACAGAGATGGGACCCCCAAGACCACAGGGACAGTGATGGGCTCCCTGTTTGGTGAACACGTCAGTGTCCCCTCCCAGGACAGAGGACCGAACAAGCCCTTGTGGAAACCAGGCATGGTGAGAACTGGATGTGTTTGCACGTGTCTATAATCCCGGCACTCGGGAGGCTGAGGCAGAAGGATCTCAAACTCAAGGCCAGCCTGGGCTATCTAGCAGGTACAAGGGTGGCCTGGACTGCATAATGAGACCCCATCTCAAAAACAAATAAACAAAAAAGACTTCGTGGGCAAAACACACAGAAAATGGTCCAATCTTTGTGAAGACCTTGCCTGATGATCACTTGACAAAACTGCACCATCCCTCCACTGTCCTGGAGACGCCCCTGAGCGTCTGGTGCACAGGAAGAAAAGAGTGTCAGCTGAGATATTTTTAGCAGCAGCTTGCAGGGCCCTGTTTATTCTGTAGCTGCAGCTCTGGCACCGTGAGTCAGCGTGGAGCATGGTCACGTCACCCCAGCAGCACAACACACACATCCAAGTACCTCACCACCCTCTCTGCGTCCCTGCGGCAGTCCCTGAGGAGGTCCTCACAGAAGTGAGGCGGTGACAGAGCCTGGGGGTCACTAGGGCCAGGCTGCTCTGTCCCATACTCAGTGCTCACCTGGCAGGAGCGGAACTGGCTGACGAGCAGCGTGCAGCGCTGGGGGTCCTTCCGCCCGTCCAGGCTGTCCAGCTCTGCAGCCACCTGGTTCAGCTCTTCATCCGCATAGTAGAACTGGGCCAGCAGCTGTGGATCGGACCTCTGGGGAGAGAGACACCAGGCACATGAGTGACAGCTGACCAGAGGGGACACAGGGTCACTGCTGGGCCCAGTCCCCAGCCCAGAACCCCCTCCTGTTAGATTCCTACAGAAGCATTTCAGGACACAACCAAGGTGGAGGCGCAGGCCACCACGGCTCAAGCTTGGCAATCCCCAACCCTGGGTCCTTATCCAACACAGACAAGGGGCTCTGTAGGAAAAAGGGCTCAGGGGCTACAGAAAGAGCTCTTAGGAGAGATGTTATTCACAGATCTGAACAGCAATGATAAAGACGGCCACCAAAGACCATATATTCCCCACTGAAAAGCAGAAACATGGACAGTGCCAGGCAGCCTGCTAGCCCTGTTCTCTGGAAACCTCTAAGTCCTTCCGGTCCAGCCTCTCGGTGCAGGCAGTGCCTCTATTCAGGGCTTCCTTCACCCCAGACTCAAAGAGGTTCAGGACTGGGTCTTGCGACACCACACTATGAGCAAAATCCAGGCTCCTTGCCCTCCTCAATTGGGCCCGCTGGCCATGGCCCCTTGCTCGGCCCCTCGCTCTGCGCAGAGCACATCTGAATGCACGTTGGTGCCCCCACATGGAGGTCCTGCTGCACCAGACACCACCAGCCCCTTGCCCTGGACATGAGACTCGGGGAGTAAGAGAAGCACAGTGAAAAGGTCACACAGCCCTTGCGTGTGTCTTTATAGAAGGCATTCTTTCTGCATAACCACCCAGAGGACAGTCACAGAGAGGGAAAGGTACCCAACCACACCTGGGCACAAACTTCACAGTGGTACTGCACACTCGTGTGGCCACATTGAGTGTGAGTACCTCGGCTCATTTCATAACTAGTTCTTTGCATCACAGTTTCCTTCCCAGCCACACTGCCCCCTCCTCTCCAGCTTTTCCTAGGCTGCAGGGCCTTGGTCACAAGGTACAGGAGCCTTCCTAGGACTCTGCAGCGAGGCTGAGGCGATACCTGTCCATCCAGCAGCTGCTCCCTGTCCTGCCTGCAGGCTGATGTCTAAGCAGACGCTGCTGGTGGAGACGAGAGGGCACCGATACCATCCCCTCTGTGTGTGGCCCGGCCCCCTTCTCTCCACAGTTGGGCTGATGTCCTGGGCTCTTGCCAAACCCAGCATGAGCCTCAGGCCCCAACCCTGAGGCCACTCTGATGAAGCAGGACCCAGACTGCTTCCAAGTGTGGGAGGCAGGAGGCGCTCAGCTCCAGGTCCTCCCCCAGGGAAGGGCCCAGGAGGGTGCACCTTCCAGCAGGCCTTGCCCTTTGCTTCTCAGATGCCACCCTCAGACCCCACCCCAGCTTTGTGGCACCCCGTTCCCCTGCTGCGCACCCATTCCTCTGGACGTTTCTTGTGCCAGAAGGTGGGAAGCCTCAGACAGCACCTGGTTACAAGTGCACAGAGCTAAGCTTGCAGCAGGCCTAATGCACCTGTGCAGGGCACCATGTCCCTGATGAGGCCCTCGGTGCTTGGCATCTGGGGGTATAGAAGGGCAGGGACATTCCTAAGCCTGATGCCTCACTATGGCTGAGTGCCTCTCTCAGAAATGGGCCAGAGCCCACAATCTAAATGCAACCTGGAGGACAAACGCCCCAAGCTGCATGTCTCCCAGCCCGGGTGCTGCCTCGTAGGTAGGATGCCAGCCAGCCCAGTAACCAGGCCAGGCGCTGAACTTAGGGCACTGGACACGGACGCATCCAGGAAGCAGTCTCTGCTTCAGGAAGAAGGTACATGGGGAAGGGATTTAGTTCAGTGGTGCCACCACCTGCCTCACAAGCGCCCAAGTCCCAAGTTCAATCCCTGGTACCAAAAAAAAAAAGAGGTTACAAAAGCAGCCTGTGCCCAAACCAAGGATGACTCAGGATCATTCTTTCCTGACCCTGAAGACTCCCCATGTGCTTGCAGATCCCAAAGTAAATACAACTTTTGGGTCGGCTGAAGCCAGCCAACAGACAGCCCCTCTCGGCCTGGGCATCTGAGCATTTAAAACGACCTCTGAAGCCATTTGTAGATCTTTTTGATGGGCGAAACAGTGAGGATGTCTGTGATCACAGGAAGCACAGCTCTGGGGGACAAGGGGCATTACAAACAAGGCTTCCAAAACCCAACCCACATGAATAGGCAGGATCTGATTGTCCTTGCCTGCAACTGCGGTAAGAACAGGCTCCAAGCCACACCTCACTTCCTCTGGGAAGGGCTAGGGGGTGACTAGACACTGTGGTCTGACAGGAGAGCACACAGGCAAACAACCACTGGTTTTACCTGATGTATGCAAAAGCCCTTAAATCAGGCCTACAAATGTGTAGACCACTAGAGAGCTGTGGTTGCACATGCACACACACACAAGGAATTTGGAATACTCAAGGAAAAAAACCTAACATTTAAAAGGCCTACTCTATTTTGGTTCTAGCTCAGTCGGCCCTCCAGCCCCCTCAGGACTGGTACTTCAGATGGAAAAATCTGAAGTTCCACATGTCTGCTGGTAGTGCCAGAGGGTGGGAGCAGAAGCGAGTTTATTAGGGCATCAATCACACCCACCCAAGCCCTCTGCAGGCACTGTGTGAGACAAAACCTCCAGGCAGGGGTCCCCAGAAAGGAATTAACAAATCTGATAAAATTCCATTTCTTCTGATTAACAGAACCCAGAAAAAAATGAGGATACTAAATTTCCATCTCTAGGTACACAGAGCATGGGGTGAGCAGTTACCCTGGCCTGTGCATCGCACTGAGCTGGCATGGTCCGTGAGGGCTGGGCTGCCTGCCAGGGAGTACAGCCAGGTCAGAGGGGTGGATGGAGCCATGTGGCCACACCAGCTTATTCACTAACATTTTAATGTGAGGTGCTAAAGCTTTTAATTTCCACAAGTAAAGTGTTCATGACTAGGGGAACCGACTGGGAAGACATGGACTACTAAAATCTGTGAGCTAAACACTGTAAAATCGTAAATCAGAACCCAGTAAGAATGTCTTTTTTTTTTTTTTTTTTAAGACAGGGTCTCACTATGCAATACAGGCTGGCCTCGACCTCACTATGTAATGTAGGCTAGCCTTGAACTCACAGTGATCCTCTTAACTCCACATCCCAGAGACTGGGATTCAAGCTTGCACTACCACTCCAGGAGTGCCTTTTAATCATGCCATGAAAATATAATCTCAAGATGATTCATAGCAGCAAAAATTTTTACCATTGGAAGGAGTCAAGAGGGCTGGGGATCCAGGGATTTAGCTCAGTGGCACCGTGCCTGCCTCACAAGCACAAGGTCCTGAGTTTGAGCCCTGGTACAAAAAAAAAAAAAAAAAAGAAAAACGAGCCCGAGTTGGCCCAGGAAAAAAAAAAAAAAAAAAAGGTGACAAGAATAGGTCCAGAGAAGGTATTTAGTTGGAGGTGGTGGCTCCTGCCACAGCACCCTCGTTGAAGGCAGAAGAGATGCAATCCCAAAGCTGCTCTATGTTCAATGCCACAAAACAGAATGGACCACCCAGAGCACAGGTGCACAGCGCTGCCTTGCTGTCGACGCACAGACACAGCTGCAGGCATAGATGTGGACGTGGCATAGGATGACCTGGAGTGGCCAGCATGTACAGCACCCACAGGAGCTGCCCGGGAGGGATTGGTGCGGCCCTGATCAGAGCCCTGCATCTGAGCCCTCTGCAAGAAGGCCCCATGCCACACCTTCAACCCAAGCGCCCAGACTGAAGCTCACAAAGGCAGCGAGTGGCCTGGGTCCCATGCTGGACACCACAGGGCCAGAGCTCAGCCCGGGGTCGCCGAGACCCTCCAGCATCTTTGCAGGAGGAGGAGGGGTGAGTACCAGGGCCAGATCCCTTTCATACCCCTGCTTCCGAACGTGACCTCGGGACATGCTGTGTCACTCCAGAGTGGCAGCATCACAGGAGAGGATAGTAGTGGGGGAGATGGCAGGTCAGGTGGCACAGCAGACCTGAGAGGATGCCCCCAGCCCTGGGTAAGCCCAGCGAAGGAGTGAAGCCCAGGAGGCTCCGGGGGTCCAGCCCCACCCCCACAGCTGTCCCTAGGATGGGGCTCTAAACACCAGTCCCCAAGAAGAACCACTCAGTGTGGCCAGCCCTGTGCCATCCACAGTCCCAGTGTTCATCAGCAGAGACTAGTATAGCAGATCCCCAGCGACAGTGGTCATGCATGGACTTCAGGGGCACACAGGTCTGAGGTCAGGAGGCAGAGGGTAACCTGCCCTGGGCCCCATCCTCTCCTGGCGTAGCTTTCCAATAAAGCCTTACGCTCTGCTCTCCAACATCAAAATCCAAGCCGCGAAGCCTCTGGAGACATCCAAACTCAGTCCCAGCCCTCCAGCTGACCTTCAGCCCCAGCACAGGAACAACAGTCCAGGCCATCAAGAAGACTTGGCCACTGGGACAGCAGGTCCCCAAGGCCAGCACTGCTCAAGGCCTCCCCATACTGACCTAGGCCCTCCTGTGGGTCCCCACCACCCCCCTGTCCCCTCAGGAGCCTGCTGCTCCCAAGCCTCATCCACAGGCCAGGGCCCTGCTGACCTGGTGGTGCCGTCACCATCCCCTAGCAGACAAGCACTCACTCCTCTGGTCACATGGGACAGCACTGCTGTCTGTCTGGCCTATCGATAGCCCCCGTCTGCCCAGGACACAGAAGGCTGTGGACAGCATGCCTAATGGGCAGGGAAACTGGCAAGAGATGGGAGTGGGAGGGTCCTTCTCACTTTGGCCTTAGCCATGGCTTCTGCTGGGCCCTTCACCTTGCACTCTCCTGGGACTCAGGTACCTGGCCTCCCTGGGCTTACAGGCCTGAATGTGGAACTGAGCCTAGACCCACGGTCACTCGGTGAGCACAGCCCAGCACATCCTGATCTAGTAGCCGCTGTGATGGCCAGCTGCTTCTCCTGGAAGTCAGGATAGCGGGGCCTGGTCAGGTCTGGGAACTGGTGGCTGGGGCTAAGGCACAGTTCATGCACATATATAACTGCTCAA